ACGACAAGTGTTGTGACAGTGATTGTTGTGGAAGTACTATATCTGTATTTAAATAAGTGGTAAGTTATTTGTATTTGAATAACTTTAAGTACTTTTAAGTGTCTTTAGTTATTTTTACATAGATACGTTTCTGTTTGATGTCTAGTTCCATTGTTTTTCAACTTCTATGCTGGAATTAAATTTTTATTAAATAAATAATATTCCAGCATAATTTTCCCGCGTTTAGTCGTTTTATCCGACGCGGAGTAGTCAAATAGGCATGAGCTCATAAACCTTTGGACTACGTGAACAAAAACTATATAAATATTCTAGCAATTAATACGATTTAATTAAGATTCGAAGTTTTAAAATTATTTTTAGTTAGGATAGTTATTTAGTGAATCTATCATTTTAGACATTTTGGTTACTAGTAACCCTTTAGAGTTAATAAACAATTTATGAACATATAAAAGTATAAACTATAAAAATTCACAAGTTTTGGGTGGAAACTTCTTAAAGAAGGGGCAGTATTGTATACTTCTTTCTTTTTATACGAAACTTGTCGTAGATTTTTCATCGCAAGGCAAATATAGATTCATTAAACCTTGTTTTATTCAGGCTCTATTATATATTAAGTTTCAAAACATTCCACTGGGGTAATGTGAATAAATAGTTAAGCCCAACTTGTTTGTTGAGGCTCTATTATATATTAAATTCCAAAACGTTCCACCCAGTGGAAGTAAAGGGAAGTAAGAATGTTTAAAAAAGTACACGTCAGAAGTGAAACTTCTTTGGCAAACTTATTTTTAAGTCTTGTTCATATTTATACAAATCTAAAAATTTCCGAGACTTAGAAGGAGGGAAAAAGGAAGATCTGTTCGGAGTTTCATGAATTTAATTGTCATAAAAATATTAAAAGTATCGAAAATTAATACAAATAATACATTTAATTTTTTTAATTTATTTTATATTACAATAAATTATTTTGCATAAAATATAAATTCTTATCAAATATTAAATAGAATTTCTATAAGGTAATTTGCCCTTCTCACTCTCTCTCAATTGGTCTTAATCACTCTCTCCCTTTTTTTCGACAAAAACGCTGCACATCTTCGTGACGTTCCGTAAAAATGTTACCCTCATAAAGTAGTTTCACTTCAAAAAGCATGTCTGCACTATATGGGATGATACATCAACCGATTATAAGCCAATCACTAGAAGAAATAATGACGTTTATATCTTTCGCACAAGTGACGTCAAATAATAGAAAAACATTTAAACAAAAAGCGATCGGTAGCGGTACCGACTACCGTGCATTAAACGATGAAGAACTGTTGTTCGTTTCGGGTCGCTGGTCACCATCTGTCACCACCTGCTTCTACTATAGTTATAAGTGGAAGAAGTTTTGTTTTAATATGGATCACACTGTTACAAAGAATACATTACTTACCTATACATGTTATTCGGTATAAATACGTTAATTATTATGTATATGTCATATGGTTTCTGGTCTTTACAGGCATATTATAAAACAAAATACTTGACGATTAAAAACATTGATAGAGAGTGTTGCGTCCATTTTAGGCTACGAGAAGCACCAGTACATTTAAATTTACATTTTTTGTAAGTTAATTACACATTTTTTGGTGAATAAATAATTTTTATGTTACGAAGACACCACTGAAATTTAAAAGTAATAATGCAACAATCCTAATATCAAGAATTTATTAGAAAAGGTACGTTGAATTCAAGGCATAAGAAGTGACAACGTGAGAAATAGAAGAAATATATATCTTTATAAAAACAGACAAGATAACTATAAATTCAAATTTAAATTCATAATCATTAATTTATTTAGGTAACACAATGTACACTTATGAACGTCAATAAAGAAATACATATTAAATAATAATAATAATAATAGCCTTTATTTCCAAAACTTAACTATAATAGATTAGAACTTTCATTGATTTTGAATTGAAAAATTAACTTTTAACATTACGTAAAATACACTTTAACATTTAGGAATAATCATTTGTTTGTGAGGTTTTGGTTTTGTCCACCGTTGGACATAGGCCTCCTCCATCCGTTTCCACTCGTGTCTGTCTGGGCCAGGCGCGGCCAGGTGACCCCGGCGACGGCGGTGATGTCATCCGCCCAGCGCCGGCGCGGGCGCCCCTGTGGACGGCGCGCGTCGCGCGGGTACCAGTGCAGCATTCTCTCGCTCCATCGGTTGTCGCACTTTCTTGCTGTGTGCCCCGCCCAACGCCATTTCAGGCGGCACACCATTTTAGCTGCATCTATTATTTTAGTTTTCTTTCGTACTGTTGTACATTGAATTCTGTCTCTAAGATTCAAGCCCTCAACATGCCTCCTTTCGGCTGATCGTTGAAATGTTTGGATTTTCTTTATTATTTCAGCTGTGATAGGCCACGATTGGCAGCCGTACAGTAGTGTAGGTGTCACAACAGAGTCCATCACTTTTTTCTTCAGTGGTAAACACATTTGAGACTTGAAAATGTGCTTGTGTGACCAATATGAACTCCAGGCTTTTTTAATTCTTCTCTCTACCTCCTCTATATAATGGCTTTTTAAATGATATATTTTGACCAAGGTAGACATACTGGTCAACATATTCTATATTTCTACTGTTGACGGTTATACTGTATTTTTATGCCATTTGTCATTATGCATGTTTTTTTCAGGGTTCATTTCCAGTCCACACTCTCTACTTGTGTCTTCTAGGGATTGAAGCATGTATTGTAAGTCTTCATGCTTTTCAGTTATTAAAACAATGTCATCTGCGAACCGCAGATGGCTTAAATTTTCGCCATTGATATTTACTCCCAACCGTGACCAATCCAGCTTTCTGAAGATGAATTCCAGAAGTGCGGTGAATAAATTGGGCGACACGGGGTCGCCCTGCCGAACACCCCTTTTCAGTTGAAACATGTTGCCTTTCTTCTCCAACTTGACTGTGGCTTTACTTCTTTGGTATATCTTTTCTAGTAAGTTAACATATTTATTTTGTATTCCTTGTTCCCGTAGAGGCTAACCAGAGTTTGTTATGTAAGATTGTGTCAAAGGCTTTGGAAGTAGTCCACATAGGCTATATACACTGTCTTTTTATACTCCATGTATTTTTCAATGACTTGTCTAAGTGTGAATATATGATCTAGCGTTGAATATTTACTTCTAAAACCAGCTTGTTCTCTTGGTTGTTGGAACTCCAGCTCCTTCTTCATTCTGATAAGGATGATATTTGTAAAAAGTTTGTAAGTAGATTGTAATAAACTTATAGGTCGATAATTATTGATGTTCATTGGGTCTCCCTTTTATATAGTAATGTTATTACAGATGTTTCCCACTGCTTAGGTATTTTTTTCGTGTTTTAAAATTTCATTGAACAGTTCGGTGAGAGGTGATGTTAGAGGTTCTACTAATGCTTTAATTATATCATTAGTTATGTTGTCATCTCCTGGGCTTTTTGCAGATTTAAGTTTCATTATGGCATGCCTGATTTCACTTTCCAGTAGCAAAGGGATCTCTTCATTTTTATAACATAGTAATATGTCATTATTACTAACATCTAGTGGTTTATTTTGCAAACTGTACAGTTCTTTGTAGAAATTAGTCGCTATATTCAATATATTATCTCTGTTTGTTATTGTTGCATTTGTGTGAGTTTTTAGTGTTTGTACCCATTGTTTTGTATTATTTATCCGTTTGTTTCCTCGTTTAACTGATCGCCTTTTATCTATTTCTTCTTCTAATATTTTGAGTTGATAATATTCTTTATTTCTTTTTATATTTTTCTAATTTTTTCCATACAGATGCTTAAGACGCTTTTTTTCAATTTCTGACTTATTAGGTTTATTTTTTAGTTCAGTTCTTTCATTTATCATATCCTTTATTCTTTCAGTTATTATGTAGTCATTTCTCTTTATCCCTGGTACTGTTGGTAACTTTTCGACACTGGTTTTAATTTGATGTATTATATTATTATATCGTTCTTGGATATTCTTAGATTTTTTAGTGTGTTGAACCGAAAAAAATATTCTTGAGTGTTTCTTGTTCTAGTGGGTTCAGTCCTGATTGTCTGCCTTTAAATTGTTTTCTACTTTTAACTTTTTGCTGTAATTGTCACTGTTGCACGAACCATACGTGATCTGTTGGGTGGGTGTATTAATTATATCTATATTTTCGACGGTATGATGATAGGGTCTTTTAATAATAAAAAAGTCTATTTCATTAGCGGTTCGAGTATCTGGTGATAGCCATGTCCATTTATTTTTTGTGTTTTTCTTGAATTGAGAGTTCACAATAAACAATTGTTTTTCTAAACAAAAGTCAATAAGACGTTTGCCTCGCTCGCTTCTCTTACCGTGTCCCCATAAACCCAAAACCAACTTTTCATCTGGAGTGGCTCGTCCTATTTGTGCGTTAAAATCTCCCAACACAATTGTATTGGCAGAGTTTTACTAGTGCATTACTTAAGCTTCATAAAAAATCTATGTCTTCTTGGCTTGATTTCGCTGTGGGGGCATAGACTTGAATTATGTTAATCTTATAATTATTGAAGGACATTTCAAGTTTTGCTACTCGGTCTGATAGAACCTCGAAGTCTAAAATATTTGATTTCAACTTCTTTTTAACCATAAATCCTACACCATTTCTTCCACTTTTCTTTCCGGTGTATAAAAAGATGTAGTCTTCGTATTCAATAATGTGTGTTCCCTCTTTTCTAATATCAGAGAGGCCAAGAATATCCCACTTTATGTTCTGCAGGGCATGTTCCAATTCCTCTTGACGGCCGTTGCCAACGAGTGACCTTACATTCATTGTACAAATATGTGTGCGTTGAATATGGCGAGAGTGTTTTTCTATTTTTTGGGTGGAGGGTGGTGGTCTACTGCCCCCCACGGGGACCAGCCGTATTGGGGGAGATTGCTTTTACTATATTATTTGTTTTCTGGTTAAGTTTCTTTCTCTGCTTAACATATAGTTGCTATGGTCTTTTATCAGGAGGAAGTAGAAAGGGAGCTCGATCTGGCCCTCATCATGTCAAAAGCATTTGTTCGATTAGTTTTAGAGGATAGTAGTGCCTGTTGCTTTTTTGGTTGAGCCGTTTGTTCAGTTTGTGGAGAAGCTGATAATTCTCTCTTCCTTTTGTCAGTGTTAGAACAGTTTTCCTTGACTATAAGTTGATCATTTTTTAAATATGCAATCTTGCCTTTCTTTAGTTCTTCTATCAATTTTGGTTTCAATAATTTCCTTTTTTCTAAGACTTCTTTGGAAAAGTCTTCAGAAATATGCAATTTCTTGAATTTTCTCTTATTTTTAAGGATTTCGTGCTTCTTCCAACTATTAACGAAGGATATTAAAATCGGCCTTGGTTTTCCTTCCTGTTTTCTGGGTTTTCCGATACGGTATATTTTATTTACCTCTGTGTTTTTGAGTGTTATATTTAAATCCGCCAGGCATTGCCTTTTGGAAATTCTGCAGTAACTCGGTAATAGAACGTTCCTCCTCTTTCAAATCAAAAAATGATTAAATTGTTTTCCTTATTAGATCTTCTTAAATGTTCGATTTCTTTTTCTAAGGTGCCAACTTTTAATTTTAGGTTTTCATTTTCTGTTAAGATAGGTTTTAACTTCTCATCCATTCTATTTATTATTTTGTCTGTTAATGATTCTTCCAATCTTGTATTCTGTTCCTTCATTTCAATTCTCATTTTCTCAAACAACATCTGAAATTGGTCTTCCATTGTTGTTTACAGGTAAAAATAAAATAAAAAAGTATTCGTTTTCTGTAGGTATGTGCGCGCCAGGATTTGATCCACAATCGACAGTGTGTATGATGTTCCTAACAACTTGTTACAAGTGCTAATCAATTCATTACTTGTTCTTTGCGAATAAATCGTATATAACACAATTACGATTTGTCCAAAACAGTGTTTAGGTTTTATTTTAAAGTACTTGATTAGCACAAGAAATACATATTAAATGTTAAATGCTTCTTATTTTACATTTAATGCCAGTTCTCAAGTCAAGGGCGTAGAACGGACGTGAAGAACTGGGAATAAACTCTTCGCCACTTTTTAAAAATCTTTATAGCTATAATACGATAGTGTTTATATATTTTAATATTGTATTACTGCTATTTTGTGCAAAAATAAATACACGGCAGGATAAATTCTCTAAATGAGACTGAGAAAAGCAATAATAAATAACGGCCCGTTAACATTGTTTAAATAACAAAATAATCTTCGAAATTAGCGTTTGATTTCTCATCAAAACCTATTTTTCTTGTCATTGTAAATATTAAGGTAGGTTTAATCATGTCCAAATATAGACATGACCTCATCGTGCGCGAGAGTTACGTGATCGCCATTGACAAATCACTCTAGAATTACATCTATTTGTCCGATTGTCTATTATACTACTAATGAAATTTTAATTTGTCAGCATAGATTATAAAATAAAAAAAATAAAAATGTGTTCATTCATTATAAGTACATATGCATTACAATGTGTAAGATTTGGGAACCCTTTTAAGTAAGAAATACCTGTGTCAGGGTTCCCAGCTCTTCCATAACAATCTTAATTATAAATTCCTTATATAATTTAATTACATTGTTTATTTATTTTTGTTTTTGATTTTTTAACTGTTTTCAACACGCCGGAGTGCATGAGTGAGTGTGTGGGTGCATGTTAGTGAATAAGTAAGTGTGCACTGCAAATGTGTGAGTGAGTCAGTGAGTTAGTTTATTGTAAAATTAAAAATGATTATTTGTCGTTTCGTTAAAAAATGCTATTTTCTTTACACGCGAAGTAGTGGTTTAAAGTAGTAGATGGAGGATTCCATTTATATCTAAAATAAAAGGTAAAGTATATATACAATTTGTTAGTGGTACCACCAAAGTCAAAGTCAAGAGTCAAATCAGTTATTTTTATCAGGCCTATTAAAAAGGTACTTTTGTAAGTCAAAAATTTTAATTTAAAAATAAATGCCTAGTTGCTCTAATGGGCAAGAAACTCCATACTAATTTAAAATAGTTTTTACAATATTTTGTATACATTGATGTTTTTAATTATATGTGAAGACCATGTACCCAGAACAAAAAAAATACCCTTTTTTATCAATTTATTAATATGTGCAATAATTAGGGTAAACACAATAGTGACTAAAACATATGTAGAAGAACCACGAACTATACCTTATTACTGCAAAACAATGAAAATGAATGAAGGTGCCCGAGCGCGCCCCCGGGGGGGAAAATAAAACTTTTAATTAATTCTGTCTACAGTTATCATAATTTTACAACTAAGCAAATTTGTCATTCATTTGAAATAACCACCTACGTTTATTAAATTTATAATCTGTATAATGCAATAAGATTTTATTTACACAAATACAGTATTTACAATTTTCTTAACCTATAAAGTAATAATAAAAATAATTAAAGAAAAATTGCAAAAAAATCAAAACAAATTAAAAGTTTGTCCCTATTAATATCGGCAGTTACCTGTTATCTCTGGCACATTTCCTCGCTGTATTGAGAGTCTTATTCTTTGAGCCAGCGAAAGTGCCAGCCCTGTGGTCACGGGTACAATCTACCAGGCGCCAACTTATAACTTTAATAAGCGTTGCACTTGAACCCCACGGCTCCAAGAGTCTCACTCCAAAGGGAACAAAATTGAATTGGAGAAATCGACTCTTATATTTGTGCGTTTGTTAATTACTGCCTGTTCTGCCGGCCGCGCCAAATGGCTTTTTTGCTAAATGTCCGAAGGAGATGAGACGGGGCAAAGGTGTCTACACAGGAATTATTATTAATTATTTACGATATCACATTAGAAACCTCAAAAAAAACAGTATTTTTCCACTATTTAATGGATGTTGTTGACATATAAACCTTCCTCTTCAATCTCTCTATTTATAAAAACCGCATCAAAATCCGTTGCGTAATTTAAAGATTTAAGCATACATAGGGATATAGGGACAGATAAGCGACATTGTTTTATACTAATAAATAAGAATAAATAATCTTTATTTTTTCTCTCACATATACATACAAGGTTATTATGATTAAACTAAAATAATAACATTTGTAAGTGTATGTGAGAGACTGGTCTCTATAACAGGAGACCTGAGTGACAGCCTCTCCACCACCGGACCGGAACACGTACAATCAGGTCATTGTCATACAACAACAGATACTCGTAGAAGAAAATAAGTAAGTGCTAAAAGAAAACATTGCAAACGGAGTCGTAAAAATAAATTTGGTGTGTGTCTCTGAGTGTGTGTGTGTGTGTGTGTGTGTGTGCTTGCGATACTATGTAGTGATATTACGTATATACTCGTACAATCTAAGCCCGGACGGTTCGCTCCTCTAATAGTTTCTAAATTTTAACGGTTTATAATTTGCATCAAATGACGACTTTAGGCATGGCGTGAGGTAATTATTGTATCAAAGCCTTAAGGTTGCTCTTAATGTTACAATAACATGTTACTGGTCGGCCTCGTCATAATGTCAACAGCTACAGAGTCTAACGCACTAACAGTTGTGCACACTTTATTGAGTTTTATTTATTGTGCCATCTTCATTGCAAGGTTGGCGATCATTTATACTTTAATTTTGGATGCCGCGCTTCTGAACAATGACTTGGTGCTTTGACCAAAGCATTCTCTAAGATTCTTCAACCCATATCTGCAGCCAAGTCTATGTAGTCTAAACAAATATTTAGGTAAAGTTGCTTTTTAGCCTAAAAATGATCCTATTTTCATAAATTTTGTTCAGTTTTTAGACACTTTACAATATAAGAGGACATCTATTAGTATTTTCTGTTCAATTTAAGACCCAGATTGTTGCGTTCAGAGTCGAATCAAAGATTAAGCCACGAAAGTTCTATCCATGAAATTTGTCTCCTTATAAGGGCATTTTCTTGATTTTGAGTTTGTAGACTGTGGTCGTGGGGATTAATCATTATTGAATCATTAGTTTTACACTTAAGTTTTACCTTCGAAGCTTACGAAAGCTCGCCATTACTCAACTGACGAAATATTTTATTCGTTTAATCAACATCTAATTACTTAATTATAGTTTTTATTAAAACCCGTGTGAATTTTTGTCTTATTAAGTCAAGTATAAAAGAGTCCATATCGTGTCATACCATGATCGTGCTAGGACTGTGTTAGACAAATATTGGTATAGTGTCTGTCACCTACCAAGACCGCCGCTCTCAACCTTACCTCAAAGACATCTTTGATTTTTAATTGACATTGATTCATCTTAACGATTATGCCTCCGTTGCCTTCCTTTTTACTTTTTTTATGTAATAGGAGGCAAACGGGCAGGAGGCTCACCTGATGTTAAGTGATACGCCACCCATGGACACTCCCACTGCCAGAAGGCTCGCAAGTGCGTTGCCGGCCTTTCAAGAATTGGTAGCTCTTTTCTGGAAGGACCCTAAGTCGAATTGGTTCGGAAATACTTCAGTGGGTAGCTGGTTCCACATAGTGGTGGTGCGCGGCAAAAACTGCCTTAGAAAACGCTCAGTTGTGGAATGACGGACGTCGAGGTGATACGGATGGTATTTTGTATTTTGCCGTCCGATAATGCAACTCAGCTGCTGGTATTCGAGCGAAGAACTCCTCTGAACAATCTCCATGGTAAATGCGGTAGAAGATACAGAGAGACCCTACATCTCTACGCAACGACAAGGGATCAAGCCGCTCCGAAAGTGACTAGTCGTCGACGATTTGAATCGCTCTTCGTTAAATACGGTCAAGTGGAAGGAGCTGGTACTGGGGAGCTCCCGCCCAGAGGTGAGAAAAGTCTACTATTGTCGAAATAAGATTAGCTAAAAAATATACACCTAAAGTCAACACCAATTACAGACGGAACAGCTTTATGGTTAGGGCGTCGAGTAAGTTAAAGAATTTAACTATTGATATTGCCCTGTTCGCCTCAAGTGTGGTGTCGGCAAAGAGAGCTCTGACATCCGAGTTCCTTAATGGAATATATAGTGTATCATAAGTGTATAAGTTATATTAGGTACCCTAACTGTTCCTTAAGTAACTTTTAGTTAGTTTATTGCTTTTTTTTTATATATATAGATTAAAATGATTGTATTGTTACCAATCCAGTTAACTAGCAAGTAGTTATTTATAAAGATTTGTGTAATGGCGTAAAAGGAACTTTATATTTAGTAATTAAGTACCTAGTAAATCTTTCTCAATAAAAAAAAATTCCTTATTAAATTTCATACAAAATTTACCGTCATAAATTTCATACTCTACAATGATAATATACCAACAATACGCTAATTAAACTAGCCTAATCTAATCTTACCTTACCCGAAGTTTTATCAAACCTTGACTAGACTTCCTTTGGAAAATCCTTTCATAATACAGTAATATAAGGTATCGTCATACATCCGTCATTATGAGCAATACTAAATTGCTGTGGGTGAATTAAATCGCACTTCATCACGATGTCGACAACAGATGAAAGTGTCATAATAAATTCATGATTAATTAAAATATTCAGTTTCTAATGCTAACGATTTCTATGTAAATTGCGATAATAGATCCGCTACCATTGCGAAAAGCTATAAAGCTGTCTTGTTAAAAGCTAAAAATCATGCAAGAGTTTAAAACAAGTCTGCTAATTCTGATTTACGTTGAATGTCTGAGGATGAGAAATGTGAAAAGTTAGTAGGAATTCGTCGTATGTACCAAACGATTTTTCTATCTAACACA